AAGAACGCTAAGTCCATGATCCCGAAAACGCTGTTCATTCCGACTTCCTTTCGAAGTCGACTTCGGAGACATGCTACTCGTTTTTATAGACAACATGACCTTTTGTACATTTGTAACGATGCTTAACGTCTGCGCCTACGCTGATGCTCCACGTGTACAGGAAGTCACCGGACAGAAACGTGAAGCTTCATCTTCAGGCAATAAAGAGTCTCTAACAGAGATTTCCACGTCCAGACTGAAATCATCCAAATCCAAAAAGATAAAATGTATTATTAGTGATGGTCAGGTGTACTATGACCCTAAGCAAACTGTGGATACCTTCAGAAACACTGTGCTGCCTCAATAATAAGTGACAGTAATGCATTTGGGTCACGGTGGTCAACAGTGCCTTTCTCTAGGACAGAACATGTGGGGTTTACAGCGCAAAATATTTTTGCGGTGGTTAACACTCCAAAACATCGTTTTATGGATGATCCATATTGGATACCCGTGATTGTCTTCAAAACGGAGGTAAGGACACACTTCTGCTGCTTCCGGCGTTATTTTCCATGCAACTCAGTAGTTCATGCTGCCCCTCCATCCGGAAAACTACCTATACCACTCTCACTCGTAAATCCGGACCAACTGCACATCTAGATAATTATCGTCCAATCCATCTCACATCGGTAGTTTCCGGAGTGATAGAGAAAACTGTAAAAAATAGTGTTGTGGATTACCTATTCGATAACGACTTATGCCTGCTACCAAGCCAGACACTTCCTATCCTCCAAGCAACTTAATAGTGTGTCCACACCATATAAAAGTGTCAAACTTTCACAAGACTTAACACCTTTTCAAAGACGTTCGGATGCTGTCGGATCATCCGCTCTCCACCTGACCAACAGTCTTTACCAATCACAATGTAATGGATACCTCGCTCCTTCCGAGATAAAAGTACCCAGTCGTCGCCCTGTACAAAAGGTCATGACATCGCGAGCACGATGCACGTATAGGACCCATAAGGAATGCACAGAAGCGCTGACGTTTTTTGAGGTGTATCCAAACACTTTTGTACTCTTAACTCGGTCCCGCCTTGCCTGATTAAAGCCCGTTCTGTATGAAGCAAAATGAAGGAGACTATGCCGCTATCTCTGATTTGTGATCCGTCCGTGATAATGGTTGCAGAAGCATGGTGTACCTTTGATATTTGTGACGCAGAGATCTCCATCGACAATTATTCCTTGTTCAGGAGGGACAGACTGCGCCGCAAGGTAGGAGGGTGCATTATCCATATGAAGTCCGGCATCGCCGTTACGCAGTGCCCAACCTCTAAGCTCAGTAAGATTGACGACTCCGCAAGGGTTATCGCCAAACTTACTTGCTCCACATCCCTCCTAATACAGTGCATTTACCGACCCACATGCTCACCAGTCGAACACGAGGAGAGGCTAACAAGCGTGTTCGCTGATATGACAACACTACCACACACAGCGAAAATTATATGTGGTGACTTTAACATCCCAGATATAACGTGGAAACCGATCAGCTATCCAAAGCGCCTTGATAAATTCATAAGCATTCTTGAAACGGAGGGTGGCAACAACAAGCGGAACACCCTATCAGGTACAATAGCGTCCTGGACCTGGTCTTCACAAATGGAGCCACACCCACAAAACTCCAAGTAGGTACACAATTTCCAGGTAGCCATCACAAGATAGTATATGGGTACTCCAACACATCCAGCACAAAATTAGCCCAAAAGTCAGGAACAGTTCTAACTAGAAACTACAAGTATGCCAAATGGGACAAACTACAACCGTTACTGTGCTGCCCAGATTGGAGCCCCTAATTTACCAACAGTTCAGCCAAAGAATATATAGAAATATATAGGAACAGCCAAAGACTATATTGCTTCACCTCCCCAAAGAGGAATTAAGAAAAACAGAGTTGACTTTATGCTTACAAAAGTACGCAGCCGCATGCGTAACCATGCCAGAGAGTACTACAGGTTGAGTGACTTTTCACCGCTTGTCCGACTCAAAGACAAGTATGACACATACAAGGTAGAAAAAGTACTGGAAGCCGTTAAACAAGAACGCATCCAATGTAGTAAAACTGGTAATACAGAAGCACCAGCGAGACTGACGAAAACCCGGAAAAGCAGCTCCAGAAATGGTACCCCTAGTTTATTGAGAGATAACGGCATCCTCTACGACGACCCACCACAAATCAGCAAGCTGTTCGGTTACAGTTTGCTGGCTGCTTTACACAAGAGGATGAAATTAAAGTCAGTGGTGCACCTACAACACCAACTCACTGCATAAGTACTGTGCTCTTCACCAAACAAAGCATTTCTCTAGCTATAGCATCACTTCGAACCTCATAGAGTGCGGGACCGGGTGGAATTCCAACCATCTTGTTAAAAAGAGGTGGCGAATATATACAGCTGATTCTCTTGACGCTCTTTAATACTTTCCTCTCCAGTGGCAATTACCCTGAGAACTGGAAACTATCATACATATGTCCTAAGCATAAATGTGGACCAACATCTAATATAGAAGACAACCGACCTATAAACATCATGTCAGTAGTATCCAGAACTATGGAAAAGGTGATTGTGAAAGCAGTTGTCGACTATATAACGACAAGCCAATTACTCTCACCAGCACAACATGGATTCTTCAAAGGCCGGTCATACACTACCAGCCATCTTGTCTATCCAGACGATATTACAAGCAGGCATGATCAGGGCCTGTTTGTAACTACCCTGTTCTTAGACTTCAAGCAAGCATTCGACAGGGTCTCACAAACGGCTCGCCACTAAGTTGCAATCATATGGTTTTCAAGACCCGTTACTCTCCTGGCTTAGAACATCTTTAGAGTGTTGCTTCAAAGTGGTAAAATTCAGTAATTGCTACTTCTCCCTGAGACCCATACAAAGTGGTGTCGTCCAGGGTGGTGTGCTATGACGGACGCTTTTCCTAATCTCTGTAAACGATATCTGCAGTGTTATCCGAAATGGCATACCTTACCTTTTCGCAGACGACTTGAGAATAGTCTACGGCTTTTCTCGTGCAGCACTAGCACAAGGTTTCTCTAAAATACAAGAAGATCTAAAGAGAATATTCACATAAAGCCTTACTTGGCAGCTCCCTCTAAACCTAAATGAAAGTGGCATGCTCTGTTTTAATAAATCCCACCCAGAAGTAACACTACGCTTGAGTGACATCGCACTGCAGATATATAACACTGTGAAAGACCTCGGAATCATTTACTCCAGGAGTTTGACTTGTACGAAGTATGCTGATTCGATGGTTTCCAAAGGCAGAAGACTCACTGGTCTTCTACGCAGCAGCATACTCAAACCTGAGGCCAAACTTGCGCTATACAAGGTTATGGCTCGCCTAATATTAGAGTATTGCACGGTTATCTATGATAACATGAAAGTATCGGATAGAGTTTGAGTAGAAAACATCCAGCGAAGCTTTACTCGGCGCCTACTGGTAAAAAACGAAGGACTTCCTTCAGAAGCAAGATGCAGAATCTAGAACTAGAATCACTCCGGCTGAGACGCCTGAAGCTCGGCCTAACCTTTCTTTTTCGTCTTTTGTTTGGAAACTCTAGAACAAACTGTGCTATTACTTTTATATCAACACCGGCACATAGTCTGCGTAATAGCAAGTACACCATCCCAACAAATGAGTATCGCTCAAAACTTCGTTGTAGGTTTTTCATAACGCAATACAGTCTGCTGTGGAACGAACTTCCCGCTCCTATACGAGCACATCGATCTCTCAGCCAGTTTCAACGATTACTTAGTGAATTCCTCCTATTTAACGAATCTCACCAATTTGTTGACGGCCGAATCACACGGTAATACCATGTACAATGGTGCTGCTGGTGCCTAGACTCAAAGGAGACTAACAGCAGTGACAAAAGTACACAATGCCGAAAACTAAACGCAGTTAAGTTCAAACCTAATATCTAAAAGGAAAACCGAGTGAGAATGAACAGGAAGTGGAGTGCGATACGATTTGCAACAGTGAACTCAGTAGCTACTCTGATGTAACCTACATTTCTTCATAACCTAACTGACCTCACGACTTAACACCTAGTTCCTCAAAATCGTCCCTTAGAATAATCTCTCTACTCCGAATTGATAAATGAACTGTCTATCGGTGCACTTTCATAGCATGTAACATGTTTTATTATTTGCCCTTTGTTATCACTACTAACATGTAAGTACTCTGCGCCATCACATTGTTTCTTTGGCCCTGATATGGTGACACTCAACGGGCAACACCATGATCACCCCTCCCCCATGACTATATAAAGCGTGGTTGTCATCTTGGCAAAACCATGAATTTTATTCGACTGTTTATAACTTCATTAAACTTTTGTACATAGGTTTTTAACACAAGCGAATACGTGGTCCAAAATCTTCTAATCTCTCTGTTCCATGGTGACATCTTCGGCTTCAGATCAGTTTCCATTACTTTCGTACGCACCTTCATCTTCCATATAAGCTTACCTCCACGTAGTTGGCTTTGGATACTCCTTCAAGTAAGTTTTGTGGTCAGTACAAAGAACTCGCTCAGATGTATCATGGTTGATCTATTTCTGAGTATTTTTGTGCTCCTGCCGCTCGCTTTTGTTATTCGTTTTTCAGGTTTACCTAACCAGTCCTGCATCCATTTGGAATCCTAGCAATCGCGTTTGCTAGTGTGCACTATGCCATCAAAACTTTATGACTAACACACACACCCCAACGTCTTGACCGTACTACCTGGCCCAACTTCAAGAGTATTGGAAGATTCAAACAATAGCCAAATAATTCCTAATTTCGAAATGAACTTGAATGAAACAGAAGGTATTACACCAGGATTTATCATGATAATTAAAGTGACAACAGTTTATGAAAAGAACAGAAAAATATGACTTCGCAGTACATTCAGATTGTTTATGAGTTCCGGTTGTCCCTAATCACGATTGTTTTTACACTGTAAAATGATACCGAAATAGTACAATATTCGACTTTTGCGTTACATGTGACCTAGATGGTTAACCTGGCGGTATGGTTCTGTGTTTCGTCAGATAAACGTTTGTTTTGACAGCAGTTAACATGTTTATAGTATCGTTGGCCAACGAGAACTCACTCCACCGATTTCAGGTAACAGTAAGTGTTAGCATAACTATATAATCCACGTGAGTATATAAGTCTTCTCATTTCCCACTCGTAGTGTGACCTTACTCGGCAATACGGATGTACTCCATCGGAATTAGTTGTTGCTGTACAAAGCGACAAACATCTCAAGGACTATTATCCAGTGGTGATTGAGTTTTCCACACAGAATTTACATTGAATCATACAGCATTATCAAGGCGGTATGTTGACTGTCAATTATCTTCTATAAAACGGAGTCAAATGAGGTGAAGTATTTGAGTCACTAGGTCAGTTGTTTGTCCAGATGTTCGCTGCCACTATGACCGTCTGGAAGCCCTAGGTCATTTTATTGTAGTTGGGTTTTCGTACTTGGTTGCATCTAAGCTGTTGGTAACTGGACGAGTTTTGCTGTAGAACGTTTGTAGCGTCACACACTCCCCAAAAATTAATAGCCTAGGGTTTGACGATATTCAACATTGATGCTGATCTTGATAGTTTAACTGGACTTGCTAGGCTGAAGGCACCCGGTCGAGCATCCTCGATATTTGCACTGCTTGTATTCGACTCTCTAGCAAGTTAGTTGAAAGGCATCGGTATTTTGGCACAGCCACCCAAATGTACTATTCCATCCGACTACACTATTGTGTTCTTCTTTGGTCTTGTATTCGTGGGTATTTAACAAGTCCGAATAATTAGTGATTGGTCTTTGCGTCTGTCAAGTTCGCACCAGGACAATTCCTAAAGCTTCAGAAAGTTGAAGACCAATAGGAGAAGATCAGATGAAGGATTCTTCCAATAATTTCTGGTATCAAATATGAAGTAGTATATTCAGCACGTTGACAGTTTTGGTCAAAATTATGCTCAAGGTTTTCTCTACAAACTTCAGCTGAAAAGGGAAAAGGAAAGCACGAGCAGAAACCGGAGAATGATTTACCACACAAGACGAAATCTGGAAGAGAGAAGTTTCTATCTTTGAGACGCTCGAGCTATATGTACACTTTAATTTATGCATATAAAAATGACTCATGATTGTCCTACGTAAAATACGTACAAGTTTTTGAATCTACCATGTTTATCTGTAGACGAACAGGTAAAACTGACTCTACACCAAGGTGATACATACTTTACAGACTACACAACCTAAGCTAGTGGAATAGCAGTCAAACGCCCCATGCAATATGGTTAGGGCCCATTAAGAAAAAAAATACTTGGGATTGATGATAGCCTTAATTTGCACGTTTAGGGGTCCTAGTATGTTTTCATTAGCCCAGAACGTATATATAGTGACCAAACGAGTAATAGACTCATCATCTGTGACGAGCTTATTAAGTGAGGAACGAAAGGCAGATAATGAACCTGCAGTATGTATTTCCTCAGGAAGTCTATTCCAGATGTGAGAGAACTTATTGAGGAAGAAATCACCTCGCACACTGGTCTTACAACACTCAGTTTTATCTAATTGTTTCTGATTACGTACATTGTAAATAGATGTTACAACTATTTTAATTCCTGGACCGCATGAGTGCATTTGCTTATAAAGTAGCTTATAATAAAGTATAAGGTTCATTCTAAGTCGCCTCTTCTAGAGAGGTTCTAGTCCTAGCATGTTGCATCTGGAGAGGTAGTCAAGGTTACAGTCAGCTCCTAGTGTTCTTAATGTAAAGTGGCGTTGTACCCCTTCGATTTTTAGTTTGTCGTCTATTCGAAAGCTGCTTATGACAAAGCAGTATTCTAGAATTGGACGGATGCATACTTTGTAGAGTAGGACCCTCGATTCAGTACTATAAAAGTTACGAACGATGCATCCTAGGAGTCTGTGTAACTTAGTTTCGCTGTACGCTGCCTGCCCAGAGAAATTCAAGTCACTGGAATATCTGAGCCCTAGGTCTGAGACAGAACTAAGTTTTGGTATCTGTTGTCCAGATACTTCAAATAGCAAGTCAAGGTTACTGTTACCAATGCAAATCCATCCACATTTGTTGGTGTTGAACTGTAGAAGGGTATCAGCACACCAAGAAAAAAGCTTTTCTAGTTCATATCGAATAGCAGTCACCTAGCTCATGGCTATAACAAGAGTAACGACTTTTAGGTCGTTGGCATATAGAAAGGCGTCACCTGTAGCAAAGCAGTTGCAAACACTGTTAATGTAGATAATAAACAAAAGAGGCCCGAGAACGCTACCTTGCACAACTCCACTTTCCATTGATAGTGTGAGTATCTTGACCAAGAACAGCGGCATATCGTCACAACTATTTCTGATGACTATTGAGTTTAGGTCATGTCCCCGTACCTGTCGATAGTCTCAGGCTTTTGATAGCCTCTGTGATACTTTTGACAGTGAACTCCACTTTAATACATGTACTAGTAGTAATTTGAGTAAAACTAGTGGGGTTAAAAGTATTATAGTCAAAATTTGTGAATGATTCTCCAAACAGTTCACTAATCTTAAGGGGATCGTTGTATACCATTCCATTGTGTAGTAAATAGACTACATCCTTTGACGGCTGCAAACGTTTATTCGAAAGGGATGTCAACTCGTGTATTCTAGAACCACTTTTGAGAACAACGATCTCTTCGTTGACTGCGTGTCCCGCACGTAGTGTCTTAATGGATCCGCAAGTCTCATAAATTGAGTGCAGTGACATGAAGTCTTTCGACGAGTGGTATTGTGATAATTCCTTAAGTCTATCGCGGAATATTTTAGGGATATATGGGTCTGGATCCTTATAAACCCTAACTGTTTTCACAGGAGCAACAGTATTTAGACATAACTCTGTATTTCTGTAGAAAAGTGTGTCTGTTAAGGAGGCTGTGGCAAAGTAGTCATCTCATGGAGGGCACCCGAGGAGTTCAATGAGTACTTCCCATACCATGTTCTTGTAGCTTCGATGCCAAGTATAATTTGAAGATTGCTTGTTTTTCTCATTGGGAGGAAGAATTAGTAAGCAACGAAACACCATCCTATGGTCACTGTTAGAGAATTCTCTACTAACGTAGGCATTGACAGGGATGATGTCAGCAAAAGACTAGGTCCAGTATACTATCTCCACACGTATGCTGCTGGACGGGAATAATAGCTGCTCTGTGACGCCAAGAAAGCGACTTGGCTGCAGTAGCCCCACGCCACATATTTTCTGGTACTCTGTATCCAGTGCGAGGGCGTACGCGCGTTTCGTCCTATTTGGGACTCGTGGCCTAGTTGATAACGCCCTGGCGTTTGAGGTGGTGGGTAAAGGTTCGAGTTTGAATGGGAACAATACTCATCGGAGTGCGGGTACATCCAGCTGACGAGTCCTAAATAGGAGGAAACGCGCGTCCTGAAGTCTTCTGCTGGCTACAACCAAGTAAATTACCATAATTAACACTCAGGAAATATCGGGGCATCCACATAAGACCCCATATACCAAAGGAGGTAAAACAATTCAATCCAGTGAAGCAGTAGAGAATTACAAACATATCCATAAATAGTAATGTAAGATTAGTTCTATGTTAGAATTTCTGAAGAATCAAACCGAATGGAATTCTTGTTGTTTCTCTTTCTTTCAAATTTTTCTTCATGATTTTACGTCTGTTAAATACTTAAGAATAAAGACTATGTTGTCCATCACTAATAAATAAAAAGTTCAGTTTTTCTTCTCTTCACAATTCAATGGACGTCAACGCGATTCAATAAACCCATGAACTATGCATAAAATGTACAATGTACACATTAATGTTTATCAATAATTTTCACATAACTAACCACACACAAAATCATTATATTTTACCACAGATATCAATGAAATGAACTTTTAGATGTTTTCTGCAAGAATTTTTTAATTAGTATGTCTTTTCCTTCTATAATCTCTGTGAAGCTAAGCTACTAAAATGAAACTAGATCTTATAAAATCATCATATATATATATATATATATATATATATATATATATATATATATATATAAATGCACCTGCTGTTAGTTTTGTTGATTCTTGGAAATTGAAACATTTGAAGTATGTCTACCGAAACGTTCAGCATAAAGAATGCTGATATGCCTGAAGAAATGAGAAAGGATATCGTACGTATCTGTCTCGAAGCTGTAAAACAACATAAAATTGAGAAAGATATTGCTGGTCATATCAAGAAAGAATGTGATCAAAAACATTTACCTTCTTGGCAATGTATTGTTGGAAAAAATTTCGGAAGGTAAGCCTATGAGGATGATTTCATGGTTTTTTTTCGAAATGTTGATGCTATTCATCTGTGTTGTAGATGTTTTTTAACAATGCAATATATATATATATATATATATATATATATATATATATGATGGTGATTGAAAGTTATGTCTCAACTCACCTGGTAAATACAGTGCCCCATACGGATGAACTAATAAAGCTTTTAATGTCATACATCACTAACCGTTAACAATACCACAAGTGGCTCATCAACGCATCACAGAAATCTCTGTATCATATTTGTTGTTTCCTTACTGAACGTTTCTGCACTACACTTCAACTAGCTTCGCTCTACTGCTTATGTTTTCTTACTAAAACTTGGACCGAGAATCATACACTCTAATCACCAGATCGTTGTCCACTACGCCACCAAACCACCATAGCCACTCATTGTGTGATGTCCATACCTTTTATCTTACAACTTGTAATCGTTGGGTTGTTCCTCCATGTATTTATCAGTTATCCATATGAATTTGAACTTCTCACTTCTTCCTTATTTCTCTGTAGTTACGTCACACACGAATCAGGCTATTTCGTGTATATGTATGCGGGTGGAAACGCTATCTTACTTTATAAAGCCGGTTGACGGGATTCAACAACGCTGTGAAAGTACATGTTATGCAATGACAATAATAGTAATGTAAAATAATAAATGTTTCAAATAAGATTAAAAGATATTCATCTTTTGTGACCAGACCTTCAAAAAATATGACTTCCGTTTTGTGCTTATGGATCGCGTTCAAGTGATGAGTAAACCATTACATGAAAGCAGTCTGAGTTTCATCTTAAAAATCATCGTTGTTTACCGGATAACAGATATGGAAAGAGCGAAAGACGACAAATGTAGAAGTTATAACTCAGTTTGGATATTTGTGTCTAATAATGTAATATAGTTCATGCCACTTAAGCTATATAAAAAACGGGTTTCGTCACTTTGGTAATATGAACTGACTGTTACGTGCAATAACAAGTAATACATTGGACACTGTTATTCATGGCAAACAAAAGATGAGTTTAGAGAAAGGACATTAGTGCTTCACAGACAACAAAGAACAAAACAGATAAATACCAACATAGTTGTTCCACAGATTGAAGCAAGCTGAGTTCGAAATTAGGAATTACTCAGCCATTGTTTGAACCATCAAATATTCTTGAAGGCAGAGTGTGTAGTATAGCTGCAACCTTGGATCGTGTGCTTTCCTCATAAAGTTGTGATGGCATGGTATAACGCTGACAACTGCGATTACTAGGATTCCAGATGAATGAAGTACCGATCAGTTAGACCTGGAAAATGAGTAACAAAAGCGAACGGCAGGAGAAATTCGAAATGGGAGCACAAAATTACTGCGTAGAAGTATATCAGGCGCGATATGTATAGGTGAGTTCATTGTACTGACCACGGAAGTTACTCAGTGAGGTGTCTTAAACCGATTGTTCAAATGAAGAAGATGAAGGTGCATATTAAAGCAGTGAAAACAAAACTGGAGCCGAAGATATCACTATGGAATAGAGAGAAAAAGGGAGCTGGAACCAGTTATTCGCTTATGTGCAGAAAACTTACGCATCAAAGTTAATTGCAGTCATAAACATTTAAATAAAACCCATTCTTCTTGCTACAGTGGTAAACACGCTTTACATTGCCATGGGGGAGGGATGACCACAGTGTTGTCTTTTGAGTGTTATCATATCAGGACTATAGAGACAATATAGCAGTACAAAGTGAGCTGAAGTGGTAGACACGGTGGATTTTACTTTTTTGGCAACCTCATTATTAGTTTCGATTTTTTCATCAATTTTGTTTTCGACCCACAAAGCTATCATAAGTACGAGAGCTTTAGGTTTCATAGAGGTACTGCCATACATGCAAGGGTAGTTCGAGTTTATCTCCCTGCGATCATACTTCATTATTGCCTTATTTGTCCCTTGGGTTCCTGGTGGAACATAGGGCTTCAGTAGTACGTCACCATTTCACTCTTTTCTCTGCAGTTTTTCTAACCCGGCTCTAGGGCTGTCCATAGGCTTTAATTTCTTCCTCACACTATCTCCTCCATGTCACCCTCGCCTCAGATGCCCAACTCGTCGTTTCCCATTTGGCTTCCACTTGAGGGCCTGGCCAGGCACATGGTGTTCCCAAACGGTCTTCTCAAGGTATATCCAGTCTAGTCAAACCCGTCTCCATTTTCTTCTGCAGATTTGTTGGGCGTCAGGTTTTTGGGTGCTTCGTTGCAGGCCAGAGTTCCTTGTCGCTTATTCTTTCTATCTATGTGTTCTCCAACATAGGCAGGCTGCAGCTGTTCATGTATACCAGCAGTTTGTTGGAAATGCTCTTCGTTACGCGCCGCCAAGTCTCTCAACCGTCACAGATCACTAACCCGACTGACATTATTGTTGAAAATCCAGATCCTGTTCCTCATGCTGAGTGCAGTAGATCTTCACACTGATTACAGATTAATGAAGGCTTGTCTTGCCGTCCTTCCGATCCTGGCTGTTTTGGCATTCTAATTTGTGCCGCCGCCGACAGTAGTTGAGACGATCATGCCTTGCCTAAGTATGTGAAAGAGACAACTTCATTTAGATTTCTCCTGTTGATGGTGATCGGCGCTTGTTGTTGTTGTCGTTTGAGTACCTTCATCACCTCTGTCATCTCTACGTTCACTTGAAGGAAGTTCTGTGTTCACTGCCTTTTCTGCCAATCAATCAATATCAACATAGGACCAGCCATTACGGCGTAACGGTCCGAGTTGCCACAGCTCATATCAGTACATCAAGTAGAAAGGTAGTGAGGTGAAAGATGAAGATAAGAGAATGCAGTCAAAAGAAATACTAAGTACGAGAAGAAAAGAAGAGGAGTGACAAAATAGTGAGATTCGGTATAGCGTTGTTAAGATGAGGATAATGTGTGTATACATCTGCGCCACTGACTTCGGTTCTGAGCCATATCACCTAGGGTCTCCAACCACTGGTTCCTCTTGTCCCGTGGACCCCAACCACCTAGTCTGCATCGTCCTACATGGCTTAAACCAACAGTCAGAGACTTCATACATTGGTGCCATGTTTTAGTCTGGCCACCTCGGGCCTTTTTCCAGCCTGAACCCACCTCAGCCAACATTGTGTGACGAGGCAATCGGTGACTAGGCATACGTAGTACGTGTCCCAACCATCTCAGTCGATGAAGGTTCACAACCTCGTCGACTGACTTACCTCTTCTCCCTAAAACTCTACACCTAACTTCTGCATTACTCACATGGTGACACCACGGAATACGTCCTATACTACGAAGGCAACGGTGGTCAAACACCTGTAACCTTCTCATATCTTCCACTTTCAATGGCCATGTTTCACAGCCATACAGTAGAACAGAGCGGACTGCTGTGCAGTACACGCGACCCTTAATAGACAAACGAATATCACGGCGGCGCCATAGGTGGCGCAAATTGGCAAAAGCCAATCGAGCCTTTTGTATCCGTGCAGAAATCTCATCGGCAACTAACCTATCAGGGTTGATCCTACTTCCCAGGTAAGTGAAGTGGTCAACACACTCAACCACTTCACTCTCTATTGTTAACCGCGGTACCGCTGAAGACCAGTCCTGGAGCAAAAATTTGCATTTGGGTGGTGAAAATCGCATCCCAAACATTCTCAAATTCCCACTCAAAGTGTTCAGAAGACTCTGCATCTTGTCAGCGTCTTCACCTAACAGGACTATGTCATCTGCATATTCTAGATCTAAGGAAAATTCACCTGTGATCCGGTCAACGTCTTTGTAATTAGGTGACGAGAGGGAAACCTCCATAAGAATATCTATGATAAAATTAAATAAGAATGGGGATAGTGGGCATCCTTGACGGACACCACTTGATGAGTATAGCTCCCTGGACAACTCACCATAGGCTCTAACATGCCCACAAGTGTTCGAGTAGAGAGCTTTCAATAAGGTGATGTACTTACTAGGCACGCCTTTCAGTGACAGACACTGCCATAAGACTTCTCGATCAACGGAGTCAAATGCCGCCTTCAGGTCGAGAAATACAGCTATTGTCGGGCGTCTGTAAGCATGCCTATGTTCCAGGACCTGGCGCAGTGTGAATATTTGGTCGATACATCCACGGCCAGGTCTAAAGCCTGCCTGGTTTTCTCGGGCTCCACTCAGGCGTCGGAGAATTATAGAACTTAGGATCTTAGACACTATGTTTGTCAGGCTGATTCCTCTGTGGTTATCACAAGAGGACTTCTCGCCTTTCTTGAAGACTGGGATGATGAGTGACTTAGACCAGTCGGAGGGGATCGTATTTGATTCCCATATACTGGCTAACACTTCCGTTAGCCTGACTAAGAGAACTCTACCACCATTCTTGTATACCTCAGCAGGTAGTCCGTCTGGTCCTGCTGCCCTTCCCCGTTTCAGGCTACCTACCGCTTTCTCAACTTCTTCTAGTGTTGGGGGACCTGTCTCTATGTCCCATTCAGGGTCCGACTGGATAGCGGGCAGCGCAATGGTGGCTGGAGGCCAGTTAAACTGTTCCTCAAAGTGTTCTGCCCATCGTCCCAGTCGCCTTCCCTGCGAGTGAATCGCCGATCCGTCCTTCTCCGCTATAACCTCACTAACTGTTGTTGACCATTTCCCCCCAGTCTCCTTAATAAGTCTAAATAACTGTCTACTGTTACCGATCGCCGCTGCCTTTTCCATCTCTTTAGCCTTTGCTGCCCACCACTGTTCACGATCGTTGCGCAGACTTTTCGTCAGTTTATTTTTAAGTTGCGCTCGCTCTTCATTGTACTCAGAGCCTGCAGGGATGCATTCACGTGCATCCATTAGTTTGGAAGAAGCTGCTGATATCCACTGGCTCTTTTTAGCCATTATCTTGGAGTCGGCTACAGTCTCCAGTGCTGCTTTTACAGTAGACTGAAGATGGCACCAAGCTTCTTCTGGATGAGTGACAGTCTTTTGTTCCGATAACTGCCTAGCCAACTTCTCACTGAACACGGCTTTGGTGTTTTCGTTGTCCAGCAGAACTCGTAGTGGTTTTGTTGCCAAATTTTTTCTACGTCCATTGAGACGCAGGCATATACGTGCTCGGACCAACGCATGATCGCTGTCCAAACACGTACTCCAGAAGGAGCGGCAGTCTTCCACCGATCCTCTCCAGCGATGACTAATAGCAATGTGGTCTATCTGTGTCCATCGCTGAGTCGAGCTCGGTGGACGCCAGGTCAGACAGTGCCTTTCTTTATGTCTGAAATTTGTGCTGGCTAAAAATAGGCGGTTATCTGAGCATAGTTGTAATAGGCGATCACCGTTATCTGTACGTTCAGCTGGGATTCCGAAAGTGCCACCTAAGTGCCTTTCTGCCTCACTCAGTCTACCCACCTGTGCGTTGAGGTCACCTGCAACAACCACTACGTCCGAACGTTTGGCTTTCGAGAGGAGGTTAGACAGTTTATGGTAGAACTCGTCCTTCACTTCATCCGAACTACAGTCAGTGGGTGCGTAAGCAGAGATTACAAAGAGACAACGGCGAGTCTCACTATTCCTTTTAGTTCTCACTGTGCCGTTCAGCCTCATAGCGCAGAGGCGACTATCAACTGGGATCCAGTCTAGTAGTGAGTTTTCTGCCCTGGTGCTTAATGCTATACCTACACCTGCAAGACCACGAGAGCTAGCTATCGAATCTCCAGAAACTCGAAGGGTGAATTTTGCAGATTCACCAGATTGGTCAGGAGAGGTCAGGTGAATAACCACACTTGGGTCCTGTATGCGTGTCTCACAAACACAGCACACATCCATGCCCGAGTTGCTAGAGTCTTTGCCAACGAAGCCTGTTGGCCAATTTGACGGAGGGTGCGGACATTGAAGGCTCCAATATGTAATTTGGAGCGTGGTTTAAGGAGACCAGGGAACTGTTCTGTGGACTCAGATCGTTGTCGAAGGCTGCAGAGGTAGGAGAAATTGAAGATGATGCAGCATCATTAATTAAGAGACGTGAAGGAAGATTAGAAGGTAATGATGGAGGAGGAGGATAGCAGTCAGAAGAAACTTGGGTGCTGACAGAGTTGTGAGGGCGGTTGACACTTCCCGGCTGCCCACACCGTGGAAGGCTATTTCTTCTTAAGGTACCTGAAAGAGATTTGTGTGACCGCAGAGCCCATCGGACATCTGCTTGAGGCCTGTCACACCCAGCCTTTTGAGTATGATTATTTTGAATTTTTGTATTTTTGGGGCCGGATGGTCGAAAGGAAACGACAAGTGAACCAACACCGCCGGCCCGGCAGACCGTGGGGCGTGGTGGAGTGTGTTATTTTTGGGGCCGACCTTTTCTAACCCCCCCTTCCACTGAGAAGGCAGCATCAGCTTGGCACTGCTGGTCATCCAAGGGAAACACCTTACTGCTGTCACACCCCATCCAGCTAGCAGCAGTACGACTTCGCCCTCAGACCCCCATCATAGTGTAGCAATTTACACTACAATGGTAACTGCTTTTCGTCTAACCACTACCCAACAGACCTTTCTGGTATGGTAGGACCTCGAGGGAACAAGCGTTCCACCAGCATAGCTCGTTGGGTCATTGTGATATGCAAGCCCGACCACCACGTCAAGGTAGCAG